AAGTGATTCGATTCGATTCGAATTCGAATCGGTTCGAATCGGTTCGAATTTCATTGATTCGTTCGGAGCCTTAAATGTATCTATCTATTCATAATAGGTTGCATAAAAACCAAATATTGTTAATCTTGACTCTGTGATTTGATGGGTTCAATTTATTTGAATCTTTGAGTCAATTGTTACAAGATACAGTGCAAGAGTTTTTTTTTTAAATTAAAATTAAGCATAAATATGTACACACATGCTATGTATTTTACAATCTAATCAATTATTTTAAATTTATTTATTGATAATATAGGGAAGTAAAAGTTCTTGTTATATTTATCATTTACACGTGTGATCTTTCATCCAGGTGGCAATGACTTGCTTGATAATTTGATTGAAGATGGCAAAGGCATTAATCCAAAATAGTATGTACCAAAGACCCTTGTTAATGGCGCAGAAGTCATAGGAGCGGGTAAATATTATCTTGTCTAATTAATATACATTTTTAAAACTACTTTTCGCATTAATACGTGTATATAATATATATTTTTATATGTGCTTTAGGTTGGAACACCAATATTCCTAACTTTAATCTTAAAGATATTGTTCAAAATTTGAGATGAATGAAGGATCTCAACCAATGGATCCATGATATCACGGCTTTCTGACAATTAATTTTTTATTACAGGGAATGATTTAATCCTGTGTGTGTGTGAAAATATATTTGGTTGTCATTTGTTCTCATTCTCCATCCAGGGTGAAATAGAAGAGAACAAATATATGTCATGTATAATCATCACTAAAATGTCTAGTGATTCAGAGTTGCCAATTGGTAGATTATAAGTCAAAGTTTCTTAGCAATCTCTGGGAAAATGGATTAAGGTATTTAAATTTGTTATCATTATTATCATCAATTACTATCTTATAGGATTCAAAATAAAAAAAACTCACATTATAATTCTTTAGAATATTGTTGGAAATAATTCAAGAGAGTTGATCTTGAAATTGAGTTAACTCTGAACAATGCAAAAGGCAGAAAATGATATATTTGAAAAGATCAATATTAGTCATCTAAAGATATAAGTTAAATAAATTCTATGTCCAAATACAATCTTATAAATCATTGTTTGAATTTTCAAACAAATCAAATTGTTCTATGTACTTGATTAAAAAATTAGAACAAGATGTGAGCGAAACCAAAGATTTTCTGATATCAGCTTTTGACAATGATAGGGAATATAATATTAAATATACTCAAAAACCATCAAATCAAATTCGGGGTGTGCAAGTAAAAATGATGCCATCGTATACCAAAACGAAGTTCCTATAGTTTTTATATGAACAATCATGTGGACCTAAAGAATCCACCAATTAAAGGTTTTTGTAAAACTGACACATAACAGAGTTGACGATTTAAATTATCATTTTAAACAAAATGGCAATTGTACAACTACTGCTACGACAGAAAATTTAAGTCTGTTGCGATTCACGAATTTTTCTTGTTATATTTACATAAATGATAGGACACTCATTAATCCAACTTTGTCTTTTAGAGTATTTCATATCAATATATCTATCTTACAGACATTATTTGTATTAATTAGCACTTGTAAAATTACAAAGTCATATTCAGAACGATGGCATCTATTCAACATTAACATACAAAATATTTTATTAAATTATTAAATTTCTTTTACAGAAAACTTCTTATTGAACCACAAGATAGTTAAACTTCTAACCAATATGTTGGATAAAAATATCAGACAATACTCCTATAAAAAAAACAATAATATGGTATTATTTATTATTATATGCCTGTAACATTATAATTTAAATTTTTTTCTCGCTAAAATTGATTTGCACCACATTGTATTGTTTCTATTATTTCTTCAGTCAGTAACATAATTGTAATATCATCAATATAAATAAAATATTAACGATTATAAAAAATCAAGAAATTTATTATATTATATTAATATTGATGGATCTATTAAAAGCTGAAATAGAAAAGAAAAAAAGATTAATCGATAGTATTGTTTCCTCCTCCGATCAAGGACCAAAAAAAAAGAAATATATCAAGCAAGCTGATTTAGAAAAAATTAAGGAGCAAGAGTATTTGACTAAACAAGCCGAATTAGAAAGAAAACGGGAGGTATGCTAGGTTTTTTTTCAAATGTTATAAATCTATTAAATAACCCTCACTTGTATCTAAAATATTTATTTTTTTTTAGGAAAAGGCCAAAGAAAAAAATAAGTTGGTAAGAATCCTTTTTTTTAATACATGTCAACAGATTGTTCATTAAATCAACGACAATAATGACAAATTATCATTATATAATATTAGCTTGTTACATTAATTGAAAATGATAGATCGGAAAAGTCAGGTTCTGATAGTGAACATAACATTGAAGAGGTATTTCAACTAATTAATATTCCACTTGATAAAATTATTCAAATAGCTTTATGCACATTTAATTTAACATTCATTTATTAGGATGAAAGTAATAGCAATGCTTTCAACATTCCCTCTGAAGAAGTCATTCGTCGTTTGAGAGCAAAAGGACAGCCAATTTGTTTATTTGGTGAATCTGACAAAGATCGTAAAACACGGTTACGTGCGCTTGAACTGATCGAGGAAAGAACCGAGGTGAAATATTATAGTTAAATAAATAAGTTCAAATAGTCAATTGTAATTCATGAATATATATATACACACACACACACACACACACGCATATATAGGGTCAACGTAATGATTTCATGAAGACCTTGGAGGAAATGGAGACAGGTTTGAACTTGGAGGCTTTAAAAAAACAACATGACGATGATAATGAAACTAGTTCAACTTCGAAAAAAGAAGCTACAATTGAAGAACCAGCATTGGTAATTAATCAATATTTTATATCTTGTTATTAGAAAATAGGTTTTTCATATTTTTTATATAGGTTATTAGTTAATCAATATTTTTGAATTTTTTAGGATAACACACCAATAACTATAGATTTGATTGAAAAAGATTCTGATAAACTTTATGTTCTTATATATACTTTTCTAAAGGTATATTTATTTATTAAATAATTGTTTGTTTTTAAGATTTTGTTTACCAAGTTAATTCTTTTGAATTTTTACATAGCGCTTGCTAAGAGAATGGGAACAAGAAATGAATAATAGACCTGATCATGTAAAGAGAAGTAGGCAAGGTAAATTAGCTGCAGCTACTCAAAAACAATCAACTGAATATTTGCAACCATTTTTTAGATTACTTAAGAAAAAAGTGTGTATTATAATATTTTATAATAATTATAATAATCATATACCTAAATACCAAATTTACATACATATATGTTATCCATTTATTAGTCAATTGAACCTGACGTATTGGCTCGAGTAACGGAGATTGCGTCCTTTATGCAAAAAAGACAATATATGAACGCAAATGATGCATATTTGAGACTTTCCATTGGAAATGCACCCTGGCCTATTGGTAAGCATTATTAATTATTAATTATTAAAACCAATATTGATTTTAATACTGATGTAACAATTGATTCTTTTTTTTCAACTAATAAAATGTATTGATTTAAGGTGTCACTATGGTTGGGTAAAGTAAAATATTTTAAATATTCTTTAAATAAAAAAAGGATCATTATAAGTTATTGAAAGTTTTTTTTTTTTTTTTTTAGTATTCATGAACGTTCTGCTCGTGAAAAGATTTTTTCTGCTCAAGTTGCTCATGTGCTTAATGACGAAACTACACGCAAATGGATACAATCGATTAAAAGATTAATGACATTTTGTCAGACCAAATATCCTCCAGATGATAATTCACAACTCATGGGCTAATATGGTTTAAAGATGATTCAAGCTCATTAATAAATTTTTGTTTTTAATAGAAGTATTGTATTATTTATTTAAATCTTTAGTAGGTTATTATATATTTCAATTTTTTTTAAGAATGTTTTTATTGTCTAAATATATTACAAAAAAATCCTTTTAAATAGATAATTAAAAAGAATTTCCAACATAAATAAATTGTGTGCAGCACGATATTAGATGATTAGATGGTAATATAAAAAATAATCAATATATATGCTTACAATAATATAGTAATAATAATAGACTGACACACAGTTATCATCAAGGTTATGCTATTTATTTTTAAACCAATTTCGCGCACATGCTATATAATATCTGTTATTCAATCCACCATAATGACTTAACACTGAATTACAAATCATATATAAAAGGCCAACTTGTTGTAAAGGATTTATCAATGCATCCGAGTCAGAGGAATTCAACAACTCCTTTTTGAATTGTTAACAGATCATGATAATGTAGGAGATACATAATTTGTTAAATCTAATTTTCTTAATGGAAAATCAATCAAGATTTCCAATTTATCTCTAAATGAAAATCTCTTGAGATTAATTCAGGCAATCTTGAAGTTTTGTTGCAACTGGCGACCTCGTTTACAATTGTGTTAGACCCCCCCATTAAATTAACTAACCCCTAGATTTTAGCAGATAGTTTCTAAGTTTGTAGAAATCTGCATTAGTTACACGGCAATATTTTATACACTGAATGTTCCATCGTGCTAAAGAAAAATGATCAATCTCTTTATATCGTTTATTAAACAAAAAAAAACAAAGTTTATTCAATAATAATACCTCAATTAGACAAAATAAAACGACATAAATTGCCACCCAAAAATACGTTTATAATGGAAAGTGCAGAGACTTTATTACAAGCGAAAACTCCAAAAATTGATCATAATCAAAGTCAACATACACTTAATAATGGAATTAATAATGAAAGTAATAAAAGTGGTGGTACTGATTTGGAACAAGGGAAAGTCTACAAGTTTCCAATAAGTCCATTAATGAGATTTTCTGGTCAGTGTGTGACATATAAATTACCAATTGAAATAACATGTTTTAGTTACGATGGTGAACGTAAATTACATCATGATGATAGAGAATTGGTAAAAAAGTAAATAATATATTCTTGATGTTTTTATTTAAAAGAGGTGTTATTATTGATATTATAAAATATTATTATTATTAGAAATACTATTATCCGCCAGATCTACGACATGGCGATTTATCACAAGGATATGAAACTTATATTAAGAGAGAAAATATGGGATCGGAGCCAATTCATCCATTGTTAGATTTGTTAAATAATATAAGAAATACATCGAACGATCCAGATCTCACTAAAATTGATTTGGTAAATATCACTAAATCACATTACATTTTTCTTTATATAAATGTAAATATGATTATAATTATAATTATAATTATAATTATGTGTAGATTTCTTGGAGAGGAATTTTTACAAAAATTTTATGCACACCTTATAACAAAAATGAGCCATGGGAGCTTGGTGCTACTTTATACAATGTAAGTGATTATCCTTAAAATTCGGAATATAAGATATTTAATTTTCATCACTATATCACACTTTAACAATTATCTTTCTTTGATAATTAATAATTGTATGAAGAACACTATGTAAGTTTTATATTTAGAAATTCTTTTGGGTTTTCAAAATTTAATAAATGTTTTATTTCTTCTTTTATTACTAAATTAAGTTATATAGAAGAACATGAAACAGAATATTCAAAAGAAAATTCATCTGGGAAAACCTCAAGACAACAGCTAATGTCTTATTGGGGTTACAAATTTGAATCTTTGTGCACAGTTACAAAGCCACCTTATGAAATAGATGATGCTGAATTAATCAACAGAAAGACCAATATAGTCAACTCTAATTCAATATATTGTTCTGTAGCAAAAACATGTCTAGGAAATCATAAAATAATAATGGGTGCTGAGATTGATTGTCTTTCAGGTAGAGAAGTTATTTTAAAAATTATGTTCTTAATACAATATTGTTTATTATTTATTCTTTTTACTTTTTTTATAAAAAAAAAGATCCAAAGCCACCAAATCCTCAAAATCCTGTTAGTAAATATATTGAATTGAAAACATCTAAAATGATTGAAAATGATAAAGACAATTATACCTTTGAAAGGTAGTAAGCCATATTTAATTATTATTATTTATGAAAAACCTATTTTTTCCAAATAAATAATGGATCATATAAGACTAATTATACATGTGTATTGATATATATGTTTGTATGTATGATTTATAGATATAAGCTTATGAAATTCTGGACACAATCATTCCTTATTGGTGTACCCAAAATAATAGTCGGATTCAGAGATAATAATGGATTTTTACAGTCCATACAAGAATTCAAAACATTAGAAATACCCACTATGGTCAGAACTGATATGTGGGTAAGTGATTAATTAATTTAAAAATCATTTATTAAATATTTATATCTATACTTATATAATTTTTTTTAGGATGCAACAGTATGCTTGAATTTTGCTAATAAGTTTTTTGAATGGTTGAAAACCGTTGTGATCATTGATAACCCTAGATCATCATACACTATTAGTTTCGAAAAACCATTCAGAGAGATTCATGTGACATTTGCAGGTGAAGTGAATCCAGTGTTGGCTGATAGACACATAAAATCAAACGTTTAAATTCTTGATTTTATAAATGTTAAACAATGATCATTTCAGTCATATATCGGGCATGCTGCAACAAAACCATTATTATTATTATTATTATTTATGACATAGAGAGTTACAGCAAAATTTAGTGGAATGATAAGTTCTGACTATTTTAGTTTAAACTTGAAGTAAATAAAGATACATACATCATATTGATATATAAGAAAAAGGATTATTGGTATTGTTATTTCTTGTGCAATGTTTATAATTGATCTTTTAATCAGAAGAAATAGAAAAAGAAAAATGAAATATTAATGATTGTCATATCGCGTCACCCATAAACTGTTAAAGTTTTGTGAAATCTTTATATTAATTTGTACACATCAGTCGTTGCGCCTCGTGGCCAATTATTCAATCCTCAAAATAGCGATGATATTCTTGATATAAAATCACATGACTCAATCACTCATGTGAATGCAAACAAAAAATTTGACCCACTTTTTGTTAGTCCATATATGGAATATATGTACATTGTTAGGGGTGGATTAATCTATAAATTTTGATCCCTGAAGTTTCTTTTGTGACATAATGTTCACATATATTAATTTAGATTTATATATAAATGATTTACAATATTTGGGCATAGTGTGTAAATTTCGACGATCAAACAAATGAATTTTAATTATTATTTGTGCTTTTGTAAAACAAGTTTCTATGTATTATGTATTAGTTTTAGTAAATGTATAACGTATGAAATTCAATATTATAATTAGGGCACGTTTTCTTTTATTTCTTTAATAGTTTTTTGTGCGATCAAACTATCTCTTGTGCTACAAATTTGAACAAATAAAACAAATAAAATTGTAAAATCGTTGAATTAAATTTTTTATCGTTCTATATATGTATAGTGTATATTATTAATAAAAAACATAAAAAACAACTATTTCTTTAAAAAGTTATGCCAAATGAATTCAAATGTTGTGAAAAAAGGATACATTTCTGTTAAGGAAGATGGTTTAAGAGCTTTTTTGTGGTCAAAAAGATGGTTATTATTAAGAGAACAAACTTTAACATTCCATCGTAACGAGGTATATGATTGCATCCAAATTTATTTCTCTGCTTGAGAAACTATTAATTATAGGATATCTTATCTTTTGCTATATTTCATTCAATTAGAGTACATATCAGGCGGTCGCCTTAATTTTTCTGAAAGAAATCTCAAATCTTCAACGGACAGATTTAAAACCATATTGCTTCGAAGTCCAAACCAAAGACAAAACTTACTATCTATCTTGTAAAAGTGACGAAGAATTATATTCTTGGATGGATGAAATTTACAGTGTATGTAAATATATATATATTTATAGACTTATATGTTTGAAATAATAGTACACTTTTCAGTTTTTTTGATGATTTAATTGCTTTAAATGGACAAGATTTTAATGGAAATCATCATTATTTTTTTGAAATTATTATTAACAATTCGTTCAGATCGATTTATAGTATTTACTCATTTAATTCTTGAACATTTATTACTCATATATGCTATAATAGAGGTCTCCACTTAGCGGTGTCTCAAATCCAACAAATTTTGTTCATAATGTACATGTAGGCTTTGATCCAGTCAGTGGGATGTTTACGGTATGTAAAATTTCTTGAAGTTTAATTTTGATTAAAAAATTTGTTTTTAACCAATTAAACAATATGTTAATATATATCTTTTTCTTTTTTTTTTAGGGAATGCCTGAACAATGGACAAAACTTTTGACGACCTCAGCTATAACGAAAGAAGATTATGAAAAAAATCCACAGGCTGTTTTAGATGTTTTAGAATTTTATACAGAGAATCAGAAAAGAGAACGTGAAGAATTCAATGACCATGGTTTTTTAGGGCCAATTCCAGGACTTACAAACAATCCAGATGATAAATGGGCTGATCTTTTACCAAGAAATAACAATATGCCACAAAAGATTCAAATGTCTCCTAATTATAATAATAATAATAATAATAATCTAAATGGAATGAATAATAATAATAGAAATAATAGTGAAATGAATGGAAGACCTAATGACATAAAACATCATATGAATAGTAATGGTAATAATAACAACAACAATATAGGTTCAATAAATAGAACAGATGTAACGGATCCTTCCAGGAAAATGTATTATGATGACAATGTAAGCATTTTGATTATAATTATATTTTTTTTATATTAATTGATATTTCTTATCAAAAAAAAAAAAATTTTTTTATTTTTTCAATTTTATAAAATTTAGCATCCAGTTAATCCACAAAATCGTCCACCAATTACTCCAAGGCCACCAAATACTCTGAGCTCAAATACTTTACGAGCACCACCAAGTCCAAATCCTTCTATTTCAACCCCTTCAGTATTTATCAACCATCTTTTTTTTCTTATTATCCATTTTAATGAATGGTTCAAGCATCTTTTTAATAATATATTTTTTTTAAAAATTTTTTTTTCATAGTATCAACAACATCAACAACATCAATCTTCTCATTCACAAACATCTCAATATTCATCAGACAATTATAACAATCCTCAACAATCACATATCTCGCATCAAAATTCTAAAAGTTATATTTTACAACAGCAGCAGCAGCAGCAACAGCAGCAGCAGCAGCAACAGCAGCAGCAGCAGCTACAGCAACAGCAACAGCAGCAGCAGCAACTGCAACTACAGAAACAACAGCAACAACAACAACAATTACAGCAACAAAAATTACTGTTACAGCAGCAGCAATCACAACAACAACAACAACAACAACAACAACAACAACGTGCTCCTAGTCCGAACCCAAAAGCCCAAATGCAGCACCAGCAGCAGCAGCAGCAGCAGCAGCAACAACCAAAACCTCAACAAAATGTACAACCAGTTCAAAAGAAACCAGAAAGAAGAATTAGCACAATGACAGAAGCGCAAATTATGGAAAAATTGAGATCTGTCGTATCACAAGGTGATCCAACATCATTATTCAGTAAAATCAAAAAAGTTGGTCAAGGGTAGGTAGATGAGGTTTTTATAAATAATAATTTAAAATAAAAAGGATTATAATTAACAAAAAAACATTTATAATTATAATGATGACAGTGCTTCTGGTTCAGTTTATGTTGCTAAATCTCATAAAACTAGTTCAAAAGTTGCTATAAAACAAATGGATCTTTCGCATCAACCACGAAAAGAACTGATTGTAAATGAAATTCTTGTAATGAAGGAATCTCAACATCCAAATATTGTAAATTACCTTGATTCATATTTGGTAAAAAATAGTGAACTTTGGGTTGTGATGGAGTATATGGAAGGTGGTGCTTTAACAGATGTGATTGATAATAACACATTAGAGGAAGATCAAATTGCTACCATATGCTTTGAGGTAATTAAAATATTATTTTTACATATATTTATTTATTTATTTATTTAATAACGATTAAATGAAGATTTTTTTTAAAATTTAGACTTGTAAAGGACTTCAACATCTTCATGGACAGAATATCATTCATCGTGATATTAAAAGCGATAATGTCTTATTAGATGCATATGGTCATGTAAAAATAAGTAAGAGATTGCACTATTTAATATTTAATTAATTAAAATTTCATTTATTAATAAATCGGTAATATGATATAATTTATTATAGCTGATTTTGGGTTTTGTGCCAAATTAACTGACCAAAAAAATAAGAGAGCAACGATGGTTGGTACGCCATATTGGATGGCACCTGAAGTTGTTAAACAAAAAGAATATGGCGCAAAGGTTGACATTTGGTCTCTTGGAATTATGGCAATTGAAATGATAGAAAATGAACCACCATATTTAGATGAAGAACCATTGAAGGCTTTATATTTAATTGCTACAAATGGAACTCCAACTTTAAAAAAGCCAGATAAATTATCTCGTGAACTTAAAAGCTTTTTAGCTGTTTGTCTGTGTGTAGATGTTAAGAGTAGAGCAACAGCTTTAGAGCTTTTAGATGTAAGTATTTTGATTATTAACTAAACATTTATTTATTAATATAATCATATACTAATATGTATAATAATATTTTGAATAGCATGACTTTCTTAGAAAATCTTGTCCGCTATCAGATCTTGCACCTTTACTTAAATTCAAGACTGGGAAATAATTATAAAGTTTTTGAACAAAAAATATTATGAACATTTATTATAACAGTTATAACATTATTAATTTTGATATTTTAGGATTTTAAATATAGAATATTGGGTCTTTATATAAAACCTGATTGAATGAACGTGATAAAATATTAATTTTATAATGTTATAGATATTTCTGGTTTAATATTATTACTTAATGTTTTATTTTATTGTTTCTATTCTTTCTATCATTAATAATTTAGCGGTTTAAAAAAGATTATCATCTTTTTTGTGTGAATACTTTTACTAAAAAAAATATTAGGTTGTTAGATTAATAATATTTAATATATATTTTTTTTTAATGTGTTGTATATATTACTGTTATTGTTGTTTGCTATGCTAATATTATTTTATTATTATTTATAAAAATTTATTACTTTTTTTATTTATATTATTCATTATTAAATATATAAATATACATTGAATTACAAAACAAACACCTTATCAATTAAGAATATTATATAAAGTGATTTGTGTACGTGTGATATACATTATTAAATCTTCTTGTTACTCTGACCATCATTGATATTTATTAAAGATTTTAATTTGTGGTCAATTTTAAGTGAAAGGATTTTGGTCTAATGTATGTATATAAAGAAATAAAAATTATTACTCGATTTACTTGTGATGAAAAAACATTACTATTACATTTATATTAGTTACCGTGTAAGGTGATCGAAGCCAAACTTTGACTATAGAATTTATAAATAAATGGATGAATAATGAGATACACACACACACACACATATATATTGTAATTTATCACAAGCATAATGTAAAATATTAATTTTTACTAACCAAACTACATCCACGTCCAGAATTCTTGACACCGACCCAAGCTAAAGCAGGATCAAGATCTTGATAATAAAAGAATTATACATTTAGATTAAATTAAAAAATTAAAATAAATAAACAAATGCACGATACATACAATCACATCGATTCATGAACCAAGTACCAGTCTCAATTTCATTTCCGATCCTTAAAGCTGCATCTTCATCTTTGGTCCAAATACTTGCTGTTAGACCAAATTCCGAATCATTCATCAAGTTAATAGCTTCTTCATCTGACGAAACCTAAATAATAATAACAATAATAATGTTAGTATTGGTAATCGGAAAACTCGATCAATAAATATTTTAATTCTCACTTTCATGATTCCAATAACAGGACCAAAACTTTCTTCTGTCATAACTCTCATGGAATGATTAACGTCTATGAGGACTTGAGGTGCTTTATATGGAGTATTTCTCTATAATAAAGAAATCAGTTGGAATAATGTTTTACAATATTGTTAATTAAAAATTAAAAATATTACCTTATCCAACTTAAATAAGGAGGTATCAATCAATTCTTTTGCTCCTTTGTTTACTAATGTGGTGATTTGATTTAAATTTTTATTTTTTACTAAAAATAAAAATGAATAAAAAATAATTAAACCTACCAGCATCTTCAATTTGATCACGAACAAAATCTGCTGCTTTTGCTCGTACCATTGGGCCAAGTGTCGTGTCAGTTTCAAGAGGATTACCTAATTTGTATTGCTATTTTAATGGATGACAATTAGTTTTTGAAATATCCTGATAATTTTAAAAGGTCAAAAAAGATTAATTAAACCTTTGTCAATGCCACAAATTTTTCTAAAAATGAATCATAAATTTGTTCATGAACATAAATTCTTTCAATGGCACAACAACATTGACCACTATTAAAAAATGAACCATCAACTAACTGTTCAACTGTATAATCTAAATCACAATCAGGTAGAACATAAGCAGGATCTTTTCCACCCAATTCAAGTCCAATGCCTAATACATATAAACATCTTAATTAATTAATAAAGTGTTTATCATGATATAAAGAGGATGTAAATCTGTAATTATAATATAATGGAATTGTCATTATTATGATTATTATACCAATAAATCTAGCACTGGCACTTTTCTGAATTTGATTTCCACCTTCAACAGATCCAGTAAAATTTACATAAGCAATATGTGGATGTTGAATGGCCTTTTCCGTATCACTATGGGAGACGTGTAATACCTTATTTAATAAAATTCTTTATTATTAATCAACTAATAATTAATACTCTGACGAATAAAAAACATTTAAATTAATTAAACCTGAAAAACGTCATCAGGAAGACCTGCTTCTTTAAAAGCTTCTGCGTATCTTTCAGCACATAAAGGAGTTTGAGATGATTGCTTTAGAATAACAGTATTGCCTAATGAATACGACCTGATTATTTATTTTTCCTTTTTAAAACAAAGCATTATTTAATTAAACTATTAAATTTACCAGCAAGCAATGCAGGAATAACTACATTTATTGAAATGAGATAAGGATAATTCCAAGCTAAAATAATTTTATTATTAGATATTCGTAAATAACTTAAATAATAATAATATTACCAAAGCTTTTTTTTTTTTAAAAAAAGATTACCTGCAATTACAAGAACTGGCCCTTTAAAATGGAAGAAAATAATTCGAAATTAAAAACTGTTATAAAATTTATTCATTTATCTAAATGATCAGTATTACCGAGTGGTTCTCTCTTGATAAATCTTTTGAAACCAGGTTTATCAGAATCTGACAATTCAAAATCTTTTAAACTTTCTTCAGAAATTGAAACCATGTGCCTAGCTCGCTCTTCTGTGCCGTTAATCTCACCAGGAGCGTATTTAATGGGCCTATTTATATGACATTAAGATTTAATTTTATCAATCAAATTAAAAATAAGAAAAATAATTATGTACCTTCCCATTTGTACTGTTAATTCTTTTGTAAGTTCATCTTTTTTAGCTACAAAAACATCAATGAATTTTGAAACGATTTTAGCTCGTTCTTTAACAGAGACTTTTTTCCATTTTTTAAAAGCTTCCCATGAACGGTCAATTGTCTCGTAAACTTGATCGGTGGTAGCAAGTGTACGAACAACACAAACTGAATTATCGATAGGTGAGATTGTAACTTGGTCGGGCATTATTATTATTATTCAAGTATTAGAAGGGTGAATAAGATCACATGTAAAAAAGATTATTACCAATTAGACGGACACTAATACATTTTAAAACTAGTCTTTTTATTTATTTTTTTGAAGAAATTTCAATTTTTAATAGTTTAATAGTGTAAAACAAATGCTTTTATTGAAAAAAGAGAACAAAAGAAAAAATATATCTTTAATCCTTGCAACCATACTCAAACAATCGGTAACGAAGACCAATTGTATTCATAGATTGCACCCAAAGACCAAAGACAAATATATAATATATATTTAATCTCCAATTCGCTACGACTTTATTCGTCCTCGATAAATTACTGAAAATTTATCTGATGAAAAAGCGCTTTTAAAAGAATTGTTAAATATTTTGCGTTGTGAAGAAAGAAAAAAAAAAGATCGGATCAAATTTTTTTTCAATTTAAATAATTAATTATGGGATCAAAAATCATTGGTTAGATTTGAGGTTAGTCCATAAAAAAATACCAAGCCTTTTAAAAAATATTTTAAGTTCAGCAACAAATAAAATGCTTTTGGATCATGATTCAAAATTTAATGTTGTTTGATAAAATTTTTGTTGATAAGTATCTCTATGTTTATTCTCAAAGTGACGTTTTATTGTGCTTTCACCAAACAAAGCTCACATTGTGAAGAACTATTATCAATGTTATGTTGTTAACGGTCCGGACCAAAGACCGTCAGTCTAACCAAATGATCGGACCGCGACCCAGACCGTGGTCCAGATTTAGGGTTTCTATTCGAACAAATGGGGCAAATAGAACGAACGAGACGAATAAATCATCCGAACTGGTCCAAAGACCGCCATTCTAATCAAAGGACTGCGGTATACAGTTCACTTTCTCTATAACAGATCATTGAGATTAGAAAAAATATCCGTTATAGAGAAAACTCTGTATAGAAACATCGTCGATCATTACATGTGTTAACGAAACATAAAAGATAAATGTTTATTTATATATTACATTAAAAATACTATTCAATTAAATCATAGATGATTATGATGGCGAAATAAATAAGTTTTATTTCGAAATTAATTTCGCCCAACATTTCGAAATCCGAAATTGAATCCGAAATCCGAAATTAAATCCGAAATTCGAAATTGAATTTGAAATTCAATATTGCTTTTAAATTGTGTCAAGTAATTCTGATTCTCAAAGTCTTTATTTGCGAAATCCCAAGAGTGCTGTAAGATATTGTTTGGACACATTTTAATAAAGATATGCTGGCACCTGTATGTATATATTGTAATGATAATGGAACAAAAGGAAGCCCACGGTTGATGCAAGAACGTTTAGCAAATAGATGTCTAAATACACCTATTGAAATAATCCAATTTTATCTTGAAATTATTTTATGTGAATATCAAAATGATATTTTTTGGATAAAGCAAATTCTTTGGCAACTTCTAATTCTTCAAATGTTTATACTAGACTGGATAATCCAATTAATTGGTGAAGACAATTATAATCACTTACAAAAATTGGCAATCAAACTATTTTTTGTTATTCCACATACAGCTAGTACTAAACGAATTTTTTCTATTTTACAATTTATGATTGAAAATTTAGCTAAAATTCATTCTTATTATGTTAGTCATGCTTTAATTACTATGGAAAAGATATTACATAAAGAGAAACTACTTTAAATTGCATTTTATCTATGATGAATTTAGGTGAATAATATATATATATATTATTAGGTATTGAATATATTGTAAATTTAAATGATCCAATTTTTGATAAAGTGAAAATACTGTCATTAATGAAAGTATTTCGGAAAGAAGAATCGAAACAATTAATTATGTAGCTGAGGATATTGTTGAAGAATTTTTAGTAGGATTGGAAGATATATAATTAATATGATTTAATAATAAAGTCATTTAATTTGGTCATTTTATTTCAATTTTGATTTTAATTTCGCTAGAGACCTTTCGATTTCGACAACTTAATTT